TTGAGAAGTATTCCAAACTTAACGGAAAGGCATTAGAACGCATTTGAATTTTCCAATTTTTTAAGGGAGGAATTCTCTGTAATTTCATCAGAAACCCATATCGTCAAGGTTCTGATCGGTTTTCTTTTTCAGTCCCTTTATGATAAACTTAACGAAAAAGAAGAAACCATCTCTTTAACAGGCCGCTACAATTGGCTAGAACCTAATAAAGAACCAATGAACCCCAAGTTCTCTCAGACATCTGGTAGCGGGAAGTCTATTGTACCACAGAATTACGCAACGTTTCGTTGTTAAGTGAAAAAAAAACTCGAGTTGCTGCAGTACACACAACTTGAGAGAGACTTAAATGGGAAACTTAAAGGGCAAGCAAAGCTAAACTTCGCCAAGTGCCTCAGCCATCCATCATGTCTGCTGATTTCAAGCACCATCTCGTTTTCCTTCTTTTGCCTTCTTTTTTTTCACTGCAGCTAACTGTTCTTCAGGTAAATGTTTTATCATATCCTTTGTTTCATTCAAATTTTTCTTAGATTTTTTCCTTGTTCCATTATTACTCTTAGATCCCTTCCGCCCTAGATGATGCGGGCCTTCTACAAGTAGAAACGAAAACCAAAAACGTGCACAAAGTTTTTCGATATTCCGTTTCTCCCAAAACGTCATGACGAAGATTTATGATATCCATGCTATGTCTCAGTTTATTTCAAAACGATTACATCTCCAAGCAATTAGATATATTTTATATAAAACCCTTTTTTTTATCTTCTTACAACCGCTTATAGCGTTTGAATGTAAAGTAAATTTCAATCAGTTTCTATAAGCTAACATCAGTCACATTGTACAAAAATTTTTCCGGAAAATTTTCATAGCAGCGGGTGTTGGGAAAATATATTTTATGAGTCACATTTCCACGGACTTTCATGGGGTATCTATTTTGAACCAATTTTTTTGCACTGTCTGCTGAATTTTATTTTTCATCACAATTCTCATCCTTGTTTCAATTTGTTCAATCCTTTCTTAATCTCGTATTTTCTTCAAATAAGCTATGATATTTTACTATAATTCTAATTGCCCTTATTCCATCTTTCTCATTTATGTTATTTTATGGCTATCAGTCAGTTTTGTTCTGTTACGATTAAAAGATATATTGGGTTATTTATTTATTTATTTTTTATCACTAATAGTTAAAATTTTTAGTATTTTCGTCTATTGACTACTTTGGTTTGCTGTTTTTCATTTAACGGTTAGACCCATTGAGACCTTCTTGTAAGGAATTCGAGGAAAGTTTCCCTTTACTGATACTCCACAATAATGATTTTCATATATATTCAAAGTCGTTTAAGATATTATTGTTTATATTTATAACAAGCCGGCCAAAACACGTTCAGCAGAATATCAAATAGTTCGTCGCACGAGTGGGTGGAAATGCTGTAAATATAATAACTGGAAATTTACTCCAGTCTTATACGCTTAGAGTTCTCACTCTTAACTGATGACCGCCATAGTTTGTCGCGTAAATCAACGATCATGCCTTCCAATTTCCGTTTGATCTCCGTATTATAACTCGCGAGCAACTGTTTTTTCGGGAAAGTTTTTTTAAATTTCCACCTTGACGTATATCTTTGTTTACTAGTAAGTCTTTTTGGAATGATGGCTTTATAACTAATGGTTAAAATTTTGGCTCTATTAGCGCTACCGTTTAATTTCTCTCCGCTAAGTCTAAAACCTTGAACTTTTACAGTTAACTTTGTTTACGACCGACGGTTAACATCTGTCAGTTCTACGCTCAACGGTTGCATTAATTTGCAAGCCCATCGAAATCCTCTCTCTTTACCAACGCTTTTTAAGTGGTTGAGACATCACTGGAGGAGTTGTTGTCTTAGTAGAGTTTAATGTCTAGGCAATGCGATTAAGGATTCGTTATGTTCCTATTATCAAAGTCAGTTTATACTTTTTCCTAATTATTAATTATTTCTATAGAAAACCGACCAAATGTCTGAGGAATCAGTAACAAACAAGGAAATTTCAGGAAATTTATAAAATTACTCAAACAGGCCTTTTGTAGAGAGAGGTGGAAGTCTAAATGAAAGTCTTTTTTCTTAAAAACCGTGTCTATAAGAAACGAGATTTGCTCGAAAAATATTTTAAAATCTAATATTTCACAGCCAAAGTCGACAAAACAGCTACAACATTCAGAGACACTCGTTTACAACGAGGTTTATGGGCGGCCGTCACCGCAAAATATACAAGGATGTCAAATAGATCAGCAAATAAGCTGGTTTAAGGATCAGCTGCAGGATAAAACAGCTAATAAAGGAGTGGGATGGCCAAATTATAGACGGTTTAGTTTTCCTTCATGAAACAGAACACCCTAAACATGAATAGTTTAGCCAAATGATAAACGGTCTAGTTGCACATGTCGAGTTGGAACATGAAATTGTGAAATGGACTAGCTCAATTACGAATAGCTTAGCACTCATTTGCAATACAGTACAAAAACGGTTTAGAGTTACGTCACATGGCACAGGGTAATGTCGAGTAGCACGGCGTATGCACAAATAGTGTAGCGTTGCGTGAAATAGCTCAGCGTAATGTGGAATGGTACAGCGTACATACAAACAGTGTAGCGTTCATGAAATGGCTCAGCGTAAAGTCAATGGTGCAGCGTACACAAAAATGGTGTAGACTTGCGTGAAATGGCTTAGCGTAATGTAGAATGGTACGGCGTACACACAAATGATGTAGTGTTATGTCGAATAACTTTGCAGAACATCAGACGCTCTCTCTGAACATTAAATTGCTTAGCATTACACGAAATATTTCGATGTTTGGGCGAATCGTTGAGTCATTCTTTTATTAGCTATGCTATCCTGCAGCTGATCCCTAAACCATCTTTTTTATTTGCTCATCTATTTGACATCCTTGTATTTTTTGGTGGTGACGGCCGCCAAGGCTATCTCGCCGAAACCACCAAAAATACAAACCGCAAATGGAACAACGATCTGCTGGGGACATGACATCATCGAATGCGAAGACTGCCGCGAAACCATCGCATCGTGTAGTCACTGTATCGAATAGTCTTCATTTCGCTTTGCCGTAAAGCATAGCCAATTCGGTAAGTTTCCCCTTTTTTTCTCTACCGATATTGCATTTATTCGTTGTCGTTCATGAAAGCGTCAATTAAAATAGCAAGGAGACTGAATTCTACCACGGTTGCCGGTGTCCTAGCAGAATTGGACCCCCCTAGATTTGGAACTCCCGGTCCAAATCCGCTAGCGGATATGGAACCCCCAATAGAACTAAGTGAAAACATCATCCTTAACGTTCTCGTAGAAATAGATAATACTTTACATTTCAGTGCGTACTAGAGCATGTCTTCAATTCAAAATATGCGTATCGCCGATGCATACGAACTGGCAGCTAGAAATGACCCGTCGGATGTTTCTTTTGACCAAGGGAAAATGTACAAGCATTTAGTCCAGTGTTCGGAGAAAGGTCGTTTTTGAACCGTTTCCGCGATAGTCAAACACCGCTAGATTCAGTACGAGACAAACTTATGACACTAATTTATTTTGTTATTGTTCAATGCCCAAGTGTTGGGACGACATGGTACAGTGCGAGTATGTTATTTCAGATCCCTCAACAGTTAATAATCGTTAAAATTAGAAAATAAGATTGAGATCCATGAAATAGTCTCTACTTTTGTTCAGACGTAGACATTAATGTCGATTTGCATCTGAAAATAAGCTAAGAGCTCCAACAGTTCAGAATAGAAACATTTTTTCTTATGATAGGCCTTACGAACGACTTGTAGTAGGAGTTGTTACTTCGTTCTTGTTCAGAAACTGTTTAATGTTATTTAATTATAGAATCAGACTGAGTTATTTTTATGACTGGACGCAATAGTCTCCACTATTGCTATGACGTTTCGTATCAATGTTGATTCGCATCAGAAGAAGCAAAGATCTATTGCTACAATTTCAATCGTTCGAATGCAGTAGTTTGTTCGCATCTAATTCTTGCGTAAATTGTACGACTCGCTATAATAAATGGGGCAGGATTGGAAAGAAATGGCTGTTTTTCTTTACCTTTATTGAGGAATGTTGTGTTGTGATTGAAAAGAACATCGACAAAGAGCTTGTAAATAGAATTAGTTACCAAATATGATACAGACGATATTTAAAAGGAAAGTTTGGTAGGGGGGGGGTCCAAATCTCCAAAGGGGGGGTCCATATCCACTGTGACACCGGACTCCAGGTTTACCAAAGTTTGCACGCGTCGGTGGGCCTGAATATGTTTATAATATTAAGTAGTGTTATGACGTGCATTAAATGTCGATTGTCGAGCTCTCTTTTCTTTCTCTGACTCACGCTTACTTTTCAATGATAGTTCAACTTCAACGGCTCTTTGAACATTGCAGGAGTACGTGAGAAGTTGAATTTTGTGTGTGCCCTGGACGCCATGGTAAGAAAACTGATATCCTTGATCTGTTTTGACATTTTTCAATCAAAGTGATATCGGAATACTTTAATTGGTGTGCCGGACGATAAAACCAACTCGGAAAAAAGGTTGCTTTGGCAAACCACATGTTTGATTGAAAAATGTGGTAGGATCCAGTCTCGTTGCTATTTTAATTAACGCTTCCATGAACGACAACGAATAAATGCAGTATCGGCGGGGGAAAAAAGGGAGAAACTCACTGAATTGGTTCTGCTTTACGGCAAGGCGAAGTGAAGACTCTTCGACAAATCGACTACACCATGTGATAGTTTCGCGGATTCGGATTCGATGACGTCAGACGTCAGAACAGATCGCTGTTCCATTTGCGGTTTGTATTTTTGGTGGTTTCGGCGAGATTCCCTTCACGTCACGCCACAAGGAAGCTGGACGATTCGCCACAACATCGAAATATTTTAAGTAATACTAAGTTTAATTTAATTAGAGCGTCTGATGTTCCGCATAGCTATTCGACCTAACGCTATACCATTTGTGTTTACGCTGTACCATTCGACATTACGCTGAGCCATTTCACGCAACGCTACACTGTTTGTATGTACGCGGTACCATTCGACATTTCGCTGAGCCAATTCACGCAACTCTACACCATTTGTGTGCACGCTGTACCATTCGACATTACGCTGAGCCATTTCACGCAACGCTACACTGTTTGTATGTACGCTGTACCTTTCGACATTACGCTGAGTCATTTCACACAACGCTACACCATATGTGTGTACGCTGTACCATTCTACATTACGCTGTACCATTTGACGCAACGCCACACCGTTTGTGCGTCACTGTGCTACTCGACATTACCCTGAGCCATTTGACGCAACGCTACACCGTTTGTGTACTGTATTGCAAATGAGTGCTAGGCTATTCACAATTGAGCAAGTCCATTTCACAATTTCATGTTCCAACTCGACATGGGCAACTAGACCGTTTATCATTTGGCTAAACTATCCATGTTTAGGGTGTTCTGTTTCACGAAGGAAAACTAAACCGTCTAGAATTTGACCGTGCCATTCCTTTATTAGCTATTCTATCCTGCAGCTGATCTTTAGACCAGCTTCGTATTTGCTGATCTATTTGAGATTCTTGTATTTTTGGTGGTGACGGCCGCCCATAGAGGTTCATGATTGTGCAAAGGAGTAGAGTTATAGAATTTCTTTCCCAAGCCAATTCGTGAATAGCACTTGATACCTAATAAGATTTTTGACACAGGAGGAAGAGCTGACCGGCATTACCACCACCGGCGATAGAGGCAAGCTCTCAATTGCCACCTGATATATATATATTTTTTGAATTATTGGTCACTATTACTATCTTAGCTTTTAGTTTTGCAAGTACTATTCCCTCCCCTTCCCTATAACTTAAAAAATATAACACACACACACATGTCACGGCTCGTAATCGGCCGCCTTTCAAGTGAACAACTAAGAGCTTCCTATGACTTCCTTTCCGATTCGTTGAGTAGAATGCCGCATCCGTCACAGCGGACGAGTTCTACGGCGCTGTGATACCGAGCAGCCTTAACTGTGCTCTGTTCTGTTGTGGAGCACTTAGGAAGCGGCCTAAGTACTCAAGAAGTAGGGAGAAACACTAGACGTAGTCAAGTGTTTCACTCTACACTTTTTTCTTTGCTGTAGCCGCTTCCTGCGGGTTTGATAACAAAACAGAGCACAGTCAAGGCTTCTCTATTTGATAAGCAGTAGCTGAAAATTATTGAGAATGAATATCATGACACAGGAAGTTCTTACCAGTACCAAAATAAACAATGGTTGTATCATAATTTAACAAAAGTTCAAAATTTGAGCTATGGTGCATGTGTAGAAGCGAAAAATTAGGAAGTCATCAAATAAAATCTTCATTTTCACAAACTAGGTTTACATCTATCCATTCTTTAACGCGTGGATTTTCAACGAAGAACCAATTTAGTTAATTACATTGTGATACAGAAATTTTACGAGCTTTTCCGATCTAAAAGTCTGCTCGATTTTGTTTTGAATATAAAATTGCAAGAAAGTCGAGTGACCCGTAGCTTCATAACTTTTTTTTAGACCACCTTGTTTAAAACAATTCTTTCAGGTCTAATTTATCTTAATTGAGCAAAAACGGTTTGGATATCAGTGTGCGTATCATTTAGGAAATTTTACTTACCTCTCCCTAAAAGTGACGACAGTATGATAGATTACCCCACATCCTGGACACTCCAGAACATACCTGCGGATAACAGATTTAGTGACTCTGAGGTTACAGTGAAAACTTGATGAAATTTAACCCTTTACACCCTAACGTCGGTGTACTTATTCTTCATGCTGTTCCCTGTAAATTAAATGGTACTGGCAGGGTGAATTTGTTTAACAGAGCCCCCCTGTTGGGAGTCATTTCGTTTCATTGCATGACCTTGAAGCAATTAGCTGCTAGTCGCTCTTAGGGGTCAAAAGGTTTAAGACTTGTACATCTGTTGACCTAAGAAATTTAATGATGGCACATTTTTCTGTGGGAGCCAGAATAATTTGGCGTCCTCTAAATGCAGAGTTACATGTATAAGCAAATTTTTGGGTGCCCTACCAACCACATATTGCAAGTTTTAGGGTTTAATGATAATAGTTCAATATTGGTACAAATGATGGTAATTATTATTAATACACCACTGTAACTAAATATATTTTTAAAGTAACTGTTAGTGTGTAGTATACAGTATATATACATATATACCACACATATGGAAAGTGCTTTGTGTGTGCGCACAATTAGCTAGTGTGAAAGTGAAAAGCAACTACTATTCACCTCTGCAGGTAATGATACCAAGTTGCCCGTGAAGAGTTTAATTTCTGACTATTTTTCAGTTTATTTTAGAGTATATACTGATTCTTTGGTATCTTTATGGTATATGGTAAATATTCATCAACAACACTAGCAAAGCAAATCCACCTCTAATCACCTCCAATTTGGTGAATAATTGTTAATTATAGATAATATAAAATAACAGTAATAACCATAATCATTACATACTACTGTTGTTGTTGTGAATTAAGTGTGGAATAATCCTTTATGCACAAACTGTACATCGTTAACCCCATCCTTTTCAATTCCTTGCTGAGTATATTTTTGAAGCACCATAATTCTAAGGCATACTTAGCAAATCTAAGCCAGGATGAATCATTAGAGGAACACATTTTTGGAACAACCAGATTCTGTTTTTCCATCTCATAACAGACCTTCATTTGAAAAAAGAAAGGAAGCATATAAAAATTATGCATCTCACATATGCTGTTAATCTCCAATGTGTCCATTAATTTAAATAACTGTCATAGAAGGAATACCAAAAATAAAGCATAGAGTAATTTAAGCTCATTATTTAATAGCTCACAGTATTGGTAAAGTTGACAAGTAAGCGCAATTGTCTAGTAATTGAAACTAGAAATCATCAACAGCAACTTATGCACTACATTAACCTTTTCACAACCAAGATCTCCATTTAGCAATTCTTCTTTGAGTCCACCATACAGTTCTTATTATATTTGTTTGGAGAACTTGGTATTGGATCTACTAATAATCTCCTTGTTGACATTTTGCTTTTATTCTCATCACTTGTCTGCTTGATTAATGGTATTGTAAGGAGAAATTCTGTCTTGGTCACTCATGGGAGTTAAAGGGATAAAAATTGTAAAAAAAAGCCTTGTGACAAGAACTCCAAGAGTCGTATAAACATTGTCGTATGAAATAAAACGCTGTGACTCGTTTCTTCGGAGAAAGTTCCTGATGCATCATTCGTTCCTGTTTTTTTGAGATTGTCACGCAATGGTAAGCGAGCAAAATTTAAATAGAAAATATTTATTTACTAACAAAGTTTACTGACACACTTTACTGACAAACTTTACTGGTGATCCATGACCTAAGAACAATAGCAATTTGATGACTCATTTGCTCGGGGGAGTCCGTTATGTATTACATCATCAACTTCCTGTTTTTCAATGCCACCACCACATGATCAGTGTGTCAATTTCTTTGAAAAAAAACTGTCTTTCATTTCTCGTGATTCTTTCTCTTTCATAATATTGAAAGTAGTATAGAGTTGGTGTGTTTGAGCTCATTTTGATTACATGACACCTTTACTATTGACTTAACAAGGAAAGTTAAAGCGCAAACAAAGTTAAACTTCACCAAGTGCCTCAGCCACCCACCATGTCTGCTGATTTCAAGCGCCATCTCATTTTCTTTCTCTTGCTTTCTATTTTCACTGCAGCTAACTGTTCTCCAGGTAAATGTTTCATCATATCCTTTGTTTCATTCAAGTTTTTCTTAGACTTTTTCCTTGTTCCAATTACTCCTAGATCCTCTCCGCCCTAGATGAGGCGGGCTTTCTACAAGTAGAAACGAAAACCAGAAACGTGCACAACGTTTTTCCATTTGCAGTTTTCCCCCAAACGTTATTACGAAGATTTATGATATCCACGCTATATCTCGATTTATTCCAAAACAATTACGTCGCCAAGCGATTAGATATCTTGTATATAAAGCCCATTTTTTATCTTCTCGCAATCATCTATACCGTTTGAATGTAAAGTAAATTTCAATCATTTTCTGTAATCTCATAGAAGTCATATTGTACAAAAATTTCACCGAAAAATCTTCGTGGCATTGTGTTTTGGGAAAAAGATATTTATAACTCACATTTCCACGCACTTTCATAGGGCATCTGTTTTGTATCAAACTTTGTTTGCACTGTCCGCTGAATATTATTTTTCATCACCATTCTCGTCCTTGTTTCAATTTGTTCTATCCTTTGTTATTCTCGTAATCTTTTTAAATAAGCTATAATGTTTTAGCATTATTATCATTGTCTTCATTCGATCCTTCAATATAAAACCTCAATCAATATAAAACCTTATTAATCTGCGAGCTTATCACAACCAAGGGAAGGCTAGTATAAACCAAACAGAAAAGGAATTTGGAAATAGTTATATTGAGAGTTTTTGCATCCAACCATTTTTTTCTTTTAGCTATTTTAACTTGGGGTGAAGACTCTACGATGAACGTTTGAATTTTTGGTTATTTTACGGCTATCAGTCAATTTTATTCGGTTGCGATTCAAAAATATTCACGGTTAACTTTTTTCATCACTAACCGTTAAAATTTGTTTGTATTTTTGTCTAACGGCTGATTTATTTTGCCTTTTTTGTTTAACGGTTAGCCTCATGGGGAATTCTGTCATTTTTCCCTAATGTGCCTCAGAATAAAAGCTATTTAGAATACCATGTTTATCGATTGTACTGTACAGTCCGCGGAAGCTGAAAAAAAATCGCCTCTCAATATGCAAAAACCTAAACGGTCTTTAAAAGCGTTCAATTTCTTGTTTACCTTCGAACATAGAAATGCTGGTTAACAAACAAAGCGAGTAGATTCATGCGAAAATTAAAGCCGCCGCTTGTTAGAGTTGTTTTGCTCGAAATTGCATTAATATTTTCTGTGCAGTAGAATAGATGAAGTGGTGATGAAGTGCATGTGAGGCGCTTCTCCGCTTCATCCAAAAGCGGCTGAACTGATTTCAGGCGCTCTTCCAGATAATTCTTACAGTCGGACTCGAGGACTGCCTTTTCGTCAATCCCAAAAACAGCATCAAGAAATAGTTTTTGATCCTCCCTTTTCCAGATTTCTAAAGTGTTCAATTTGTCTTTACAACTGCGTCGGAAGTAGTTGAAAGGGGGCGGGTGGAGGGGGGATTGAAGAGCAGCCATTTTCTCGTGTAACAATTTAAAAGTGGTGCCACTAAAAAAATAATTTTGTTCCAAACAGGGATCGGTGCGAAATAAAACCCCTTAATAATAACGTAACCTTCAAAATTTTTCAAAAACCCAACAGAGTTTGCTATAGTAAAAACACAGAAAAATATTTTTGACGATAGTTATCAAATAGGTAAAGGTAAGGAAATGGTAAATCAACA